ACTGCGGGGGCCTAAAACAGAGTATTCAGCTTCTCCGCCTGATGCTTGTTCCATGTCCATCCCTGCCCTACACTGCTGCTCACTCTCCCTTCTCTTGTCCTTACCGTCACAGTAGCAGCGTAGCTCATAGAAAGGGCAAAAAGGTACACACTACTGCTTCTTTGGCCCACAAGGACAGGGAGGTGCTTTCTGTGCTATTAGGGCAGCCGTATTTTTAAAATGCTGCTTTTAAATGCTTCAGAGTTGCCGGGAAACTAAACTTTTCTGAAGGCAGGGTAAAGCAGCAAAAGACTAATCCCTGGTCTACAGGCTGTCAGATTCCTGTGACAGCTTCTGCTATTAGCTAACCCATCAAGAAGACCTCATATATATAGGCACTTAACCTCTCTATTTTAGTAGCATACTTTCTAGATCTCTTCATTAAAATAAAACCACTTAAAGTCTATTACTAATGGAATGCTTTTACTGTTAACAAACTCCCATCAAGCTCTAGCCATGTTTGCATTGTTTAGGATAAGCATGCCATAAAAGAAGGAAGTTATTCGCCACTGGAATGCCAGGAGAGGAAAAGGCCATTGATCCCGCTGGTGTTACACTGCTCTTCTGCTTTCATACCCTCTCCAAAAAAATATCATGGATGCGCTGCTGTTAAATCTGTCTCTCTGTAAATCAGCACTGCAATCAATGTGTTGTGCTAAATACCAGGCAGTTCTGAACACCCTTGAGGTCAAAACCTAACTCCACAAGGCAAAGTAAATCAATGCAATCTATGAAACAGCTTTCGCTAGAAATCTAGAGAATCTGAATATACATATAATTTTTTCTTAAAAGAAATCAGTGCTTGATTTTTGGGAATCACTACTGCTGTCTCCTCTCCTCAATTTGCAAAAGACAGACATGAAAAATCATCTACTCTCTCCAACATTTTTTTCTGTTCATGCAGAAAAAGATATGTGAACCCTCCAGTTAGTCCTCTCACCCTGTTGTCGCCTGTCCAAGTCTGACAGCTCTATCGATATTCCCCCCAGGACTGTGGGATAAGCTTTCTCAGATGGTCGGCTCAAGCAGGACAGGGCCATTCTGTCCTGAAACATCCCATGGATGATGCTCCACTTGATCACGGCTGTAACACACTCCCAGCCTCTTCCTGCTTCTATTAAACACTTTCTTCTTACCCAGATTTGGTTCAAAGCATTAAATTTAATTTCCTCTGTGTTCCAGGTATGAATTTGCACCCTTACAGAGTTATAACGTTAATGGAAATAAGAAGAGAGGAGCTGATTAAATATAAACAGTACCAGAAGCCACCAGGGAATCTTCCATCACACAGCTCTGCTCAGAGTAACTCACTAGCAGCCTGAATACACCTTAAAATGCTCTGCTTTGGCTTCAGGAGCAAATCGCGTGAAAACAGAGGGGGCAGAAAAAAATGGGAAAAAAATGTGCATGAAAACATGGGACAGAGCCAAGCTGGATAATCATTGGCTCAGTACAAGGTAGCAAGTGTACTTTCTGGGACTAGATCTACCCCTGTGATCCATCCCTGCTGCCCTTGAGTGTTATACATGAGTGTTCTGAGATCAAAGCTTCCCCTGCAGCCCCCCCAAGGTTGCTTGCATTTTCCCCACCGTGTAAGAGGGGCTCACCTCTGGTGTATTGAAGAGGTTTGTAGCCAGTCATTCAAGCCTTTCACTATGTGATCTGATAGTCACACTCATTCCCACACGATTGAAAATCTAGAACTGAGGCAGCCACATCTGGCTTTGGGACAGACACATCTGGTCACATAACTGAACAGAATCTGTAGAACATTATTCTTCAGGGTCTCCATAGCAGACCTTATGGCCTACCCTGGCTGAAAAGCTGCATGATGTTAAGACCATAAAAGACAACTTCTCCTTGTCTACTTCCTAACCCAAATATAATCCTAAAAAGGGTCTTCACAGATCAGATTAATAAATGAGCAGAGGACAGATCAGTCAGTCCTACTCGAGCTGCTTTCAGGCTGTGGTTAAAACTCCTCTTCAGACATAGCAGCACCATTTGATCACTTCTGTTGCTCATCAGCTGTTTACTATCACAGATTACTATCCTCAGGGCTCTGCCAGCAGCCTTCTCTACAGCAGTAGAGTGGTCTCATGTCAGGAGCATCCTCAGCACACACAGCACTTTGTAAACAGAGAGTCCACCTGCAGCTTCCCAAAGTGAGGGCTTGTGGTCAGGAGCTGCATCTAGTTGTCTTTGTATTCCTCTTAAGCTTTTCATCTCCACAAGATAGAGCAGAGCCAAGTGACACCAGGAATGAGTTTCTATTTTTGTCTTAGAAAAAAGCAATGATCTGCTTCCCAAAAGCACAGCAGCTAGCATGCGCACCCACCCACGCAGGTGAACTTGCACGACGGCCCCAGAGAGTGCCGGAAAGCAAGGGCTACGAGGTTTTTAGCCTACATAAAAGGCAATACTTACGCAGAGACGATTTCTTCCCCGCTCACAAATTTTGCGTAGGAGACTGCCTTGCGATGCCCTTTGAACACCATGATTGGCTGCTTAGTGTTGCGAAGATCGTAGTAGTGAACACAGTGATCTGGAGATGAGAAAGAAGAGGGGCAAAATTTAATCAGATGGGAAGTATGCACAGGACCTCTAATAGTCAGCTCACAAAAGTCCTGCCTGCAGCCTCCACGTGTTACTTAAAGCCTCGTCTAGGATGAAGTCTGCACTATAGCAAAGGAGTGTTTAAGCAGGCTTCTTAAAACAGCCCGAAAATTCAGTCTGTAAAGGTCCAAGCAGTCTTTCAAAGAGTCAGCGAGGGGAAAAAGGTGCATCCACATGGGTGTGCACGTGCATGTGTCCTCCCGCAAACCCCACTTGGCCCATGTGCAAGCCAGCAGCTAAAAGGACTCTCGCCTCTCCTCCTTGCCTTCTTGGCTCCCTGCCCGGCCACTCTAATTGCCATTTCTAATTCCCTGCACTCCCTTCTCCTTCCTCAATCTGTCCCCTCTTGGGAAACTGCTTGTGGTGGTGCATTTCCCCCCGACCCCTTCTCCTGGGCCGCTTGTTGATCTGGGCCGCTTGTTGATCTCAGAAATTCCCGTGAAACCTCGGCCTTGGTGTGCTGAGTCTGGCGGTTGAGGGCTCCTTGAAACATTATCAGAAACTCTGCATGGCTGAGGCTGGGAATGTATTCTTACTGTCTGGCCCAGGTGTCAAGTAGAACAACACTGAAACCTTGAGAATTTTTTAGTAATTACCACCTGGGACTGTGGCTGCGATGGAAATTTATGGATGACTAAAGCCAACCATCCTTCAAACCTATAAACGGTGGTCCTGAGTGAGACCCTTTGAGCTCTCCTGGACCGCAGTGGGCTGCGCCCAGCATCTCTCTCTGAGTGGGATGCCTCTCAAGAGCTCGCCACCTCTCGAGTCTGTGGTATTCAGAGGACTGTCACCGAAAGCTGATGATGGGACCTGGGCTGAAGCCCTTCATTCCTCGAAGCTCAACCCTCACTTGTTGAGAAATGCCGAGACAAACGTGTTCGACGTGAATACTTCTTCACTGAACTTGAGGGGAATTTTTAACAGGTATACCTTTTGTATATTTATATACATATATTTCTGTCTGTGTGTGTGTGAACTAATAGTAAGCATAATCTGTAATTAAGTTGTGATTGTAGTAGACTCTTAACACTTACTTTGTAAATATTAAGTTAGTTAATGATTAAGTGCTGCTAAAATCTTATGATCTATACTTCATTCGTGTAGTAGGTAATAGAGTGAACCTTGCCATCAAACTCTGTTAAGTCACGCTTTTATAAATTTCTATTAAAATCACTTTCTGCTAATACCTTTGACGGTGATTTTTTTAAGCAGCCTCTAAACCACTCATTTGCAACACTGTTGAAGAACCACAGGCTGAAAACTCAGTCTGTTTGCTACTTAAATGGGATCATGGAAAACAGGGATTAAATTTCTCATGCTTACCCTAAATGGGTAACCTCCATACTTTTGTTTTTTGCTTCTCTCTGATTTTATTACCGATTAAGAGAGAATTAGCATTTCTGCTAATGAGAGAACAGACTAAATTCCAGTTCTTCTTAAGATTTAATTCACAGATGTGCTGCAATGCCACAACCACATAAAAGAGATCGTAACAGAATTAAAGATACTTATTACTTTCTGCATAACTAAGTGTCAATTCCCAAGAAAACAGAAAAATAAGAATAGAAAACCCCACGAGACCCAAGCCCCAAACACCCCCAGCGCTCTTTCCAGCTCAACAAGGTTAATAAGCTTCTCCCTTCCTGACTTTCAGCCTTTAATGTTGAACTTCATTTAATTATCCCTTGCTATTCTGGAAGCACAGGGAGGGAAGGCCACATACACGCAAGGAAACCGAGCTAGACGCCTTTCTCACCAAGCAACTTGCGATACCCAGACGTCAGCTGAAAACTGCTCTGACCCTCCTCCCACTGAAATAACACCCCACCAATGGAAGTTTATCACAGAGAATACATGGAAAGGAATTTAAATGCCAATAGCTACGGTTATTTTTGTACTTGCACAGTGCTCCAAAGCAGGGCTCTCAGTCGTACAAACAACACCCAGCTGTCTCAAAATCCCATGTGGTTTGAGAGATAACTGGATTTACATCGATCAGGCTCCAGCAACTGCCGTCAGACCAGCAAGGGTAGCTTCTAACCCGTATTAACGGGCTAATTGGTGGCCGTGGCAGGACGGGGGGGCTGTGTCAGAAACACCTTCAGTGAAACGAGGTAAGCAAGCAAGTCGCCTTCCCTGCTAACTGCTTCCAGCATCTTGCTCTCTGCATAATACGATGGGTTCGGTGACTCCTCTGGTAAGAGGTTTCTAGCTGTCTCCCTCCTTGCCGTGTAAAAGCAGACATTCCAAGCAGCCACACCAAGTTTTCTCCACTACTTGCACCAAACTGTCGAATTACCCAGTTGTGTTGAAACCCAGCAGCTATTGTGCCCATTACCGCTAGCACTGGGAAGCGCTGTACCTCCAAGCACTCTTTCAGATGCTCCTGTTTCTTCTACCTCCGCAATATTAACCCTCCAAACAGCCGACACTATTGACCAAAATCATTTGGGCATTTTAATTAACTTTAGAACAAGATGATGTTGCGACAGGCTTATTCAATAAAGAGGTTAATTTTCAAAAGGACTTTAAATTAAGCGTTAACACTCCTTTAATAAGATTTGAGCATCCTGGTCCCTTCCAACTCCCTGAAAGCTTGAGCCAAAAAAAATTCCACATTTTCTCATCTGGCTGGTGTACCTGCTGCAGGAGCTACGAAACAGTTAACTGGCAATTATTATTTTAATGAGCAGAATGATTCTAGCAGGGCTTTCTGTTAGGAGCCAGTTAGTGGATAAGCCTTTCAAGCCTATTTTTGCTCACAGTTTCAGCCTCCTCTCCAGCTGGCCAGTCATTAGGATACCTTTTGAGCAGCGTATTTTATCTTTCAGAGGGTGGCAGGGAAAGGGGTACCTGCGGATAGCTGTGTGCAAGCAGCTGGAGCAATGCGAAGAGGAAAAAGCTAGAGCAGGAGAGACAAGTCCATTTGCAGAGCAGAGACACAAAGTTGCATTCACCTTCTAAATATCGCAATAAACAGCTCGAAGCCTGCCGGCATCTGGCCCCAGCACCGCGTGTGCCTCTCGGCGTCGGCAGGGCAATCAATCACTGTCTGCTCTGATCACAACGAGTCCGAGGGAACGGGCAAGGCCAGTGGGTTCTAAAATTAGCCACTTAATTATTAATTGATTATTTCAGCAGCCGAAATGTTGGTGCCCAATTGAGTTTTTTTTTAAATTCAATTGAAGCAGCTATTTTTAAGTAGATATATGAAGACAAATGCTCACTGCATTCATTAAAATCAGAACAGGTGGTCATGTTTTACAATTAAAGAGATACTCTCTCTTGTAGGCCATATGGACTTTCCGAAAACATGATAAAAATGCCATCTGCTGAGGAAGCAGAGCGCCCCAAAATGAAGCTAAATGAGAAAAATACAACTCCCAGGTACCCCGGCAGCAGCCTCGCCTGGTGGAGTTTGAAGAGCTGAAATGATCTGCCATCGGCAGCATTCCGGGCATGCCAGCGGGTCCGAGGCGAGGTGCTCTGGAAAGCTCAGAAAACAAATTAATCCTAAGAGCCAGATGAAGGTAAGGAAAATAAAGTGGGCGTTGAGGGGAATCAAACACTTCTCGAACTCTGCAAGAGCACCCACCGCTGGCTCCTGCCCTTGGCATCCCTGGAAGACCACGGAGCATACTCCACCACTAACCAGCGACGCACAGGGGTATTTGATTCTTGTTTTGCTCCTCAAACACAAGCATTAATATCATCATTTGGCAATTTTTTTTGCAGATCTACAGTTTCCACCCCAACCAGAAAACTCACTTAGAACAATTTCAACTTGGAAATGACATTTCCACAGTTAAAAGCCTCATGCCTAACTCTTCGGCGAGAGCTCACTGCTTTACTTTTTCTTCTGCGTTCAGGCTTAATTGAAATATATATGAGATAATGTGAAGGAACATGTATATATACCACAACAAATTAAACACTCTGAAGCAATTCTTGTCTAGTTCAATGTCACTGCAGAAGCTGAGCATGACAGAATTCTGCTGCTGTGCCTTCTGAATTCAAATGTTTGCTGGCAGGCTGTATTTTATTATCCTTTTTTTTTAAAGTGATCTCAGAAGGCAAAAAGGGCAGCTAAGCTCTGCCACTGCTGCTTAGAGGTCTCCGACCACAAGCCTAAGTTTTTAAATAGTGCTTTTCCAGAATGCTCAAGAACTGCTTACTTCCCCCTTAAGAGGCCACTGCTTTCACCTTTGAGCTGTCTAGTGACAACTAATCAAGAATTCAGACTTTTCCAAACTTCCAAAAGATCTCACCACCTCTCCAGTAAATATAACCTGCGTCAGCAAAGGATGGCATCCCTCGTTGCTTGGCAGCTCATAAATTCACAAGACACCAGCCGGCAGGAGCAGGGCGAAAGGGAAGGATGGTTTTGTGATGTACAAGGTGAAGTGCTCAGCACCTTCTCAATCTCGGTCCTCGGACTCAGCTTGGTTGCAGGGATAGGGACACAGCGAACGAACTGATGATGTGGTTACATGATCTTAGGAAATCAGGTTAAGAACTTCTAGAAGAAAAAAAGAGAGCTGGGAATTGCTAATGGAGCCAGCAGCATCTTAGAGAATTTCAGAGCTGTTCAGAAGGATGGAATTGCTCTTGGATTTTTAGTTGTTTAAACAAAAAAAAAAGGCAAAGTCTGCTTTTGCCAAAAGTGATTTTCCTTACACTTAGATTTGTTAATAAAATTCACAAAACAGCTGTTACTAGCAGGCTTTAGGCTCACAACACCTCTCGCAAAGCTCTTAAAATGTACTGAGGAGCGACAACTCCAGAAAGAGTAGGCAAGGGTTAGGAAAGAGCATCACACAGCAGCAGTTTGTTTCACTGAGTACCATCACATCCAGAGTAGCAACACACACAACCCAAAAAGCAGTGATTTAACTCTCCAGGCACCCAGCAATTCCCAGTAACATT